CTCACCCTAGCAAACCTCTGATCTTTTCTCAGTAGTAGCTGAACATGCTCAGAGGTAGAATCTCCCCTTGCAAAAGCCTGGTGGTGCCCATGCTGTGGGAAGCTGCACCCAGCTTGGTGTTCCCTGTCTTGTTAGCCTGTGAGGATTACAGAAAAAGGAATAATACTCAAAAGCAGCACTGTTGCCTTTAGTGGAAATGACATCATTTCTGCTCATAGCAGTGTTTTTTAATAGGACACTTTCAGCAGAAAGCAGTGTCCACTTGAAGAGTGCTCACAAAGTGAAAATGAGCTTGCTTTCAGCTAGTTTGCCTTCTCAAAGTAACACAACTGTCTGCACTTCTCTCTGCAGCCTTTTGCAGCTGGTCATCTCAGGACCTGTACAGCAACCGGCCCACAGCGCTCTGCCTCCAGGATTCTATCCTCACATCCACACCCCCCCTCTGGGTTACCCTGCACACAGTGCTCACCCCACTCTCCCAGCTCACCCTGCACTCCCAGCTCACCCCGTACAAACGTTCATACCAGGAATGACATTCCCCTACAGGCCTATCCGCTAACATGCTCAGACTGCAGAAGGTGACGGCTTCCCTTGGTCTGAGGAAGCCTTGCAGAGAAAAGCAACCGTCTCCAGAGCCAAGTTTTCCTCTTCGCTGGGAAGCTGGGCAGTGCCTGCAGGAGGGCTCCACCTCTGGGAGCAGAGAAGACTCCAGGGGGAGGATAGCAGTTACTCTGAATGTGGGCTGAGGATATGAGAGCACCACATGGATAAAGGGAGGGAGTGGAAAAAGGCAAGCAAGTCGAACCCTCTGGAGCATGCGGCGACCCTTTTGTATTTGATACAAGCACTGTGCTCAGTACATCTCTCAGTGGGGTGTTTGTCAGTAGCCCCTGTTTGGCACACTGAGAGCAGCACAGTCGTGCTCTGGGCGGTAGGCCAGATGGAAAGCCATAGTTTTTCACACAAATCCACTCCAGCCTGTCCATCTCTTTGTAAATGTTTGTATCTATAGCTACAGAATGTGTACACTGTATATTTTTGGAACACAAATGTTTGCTTCAGAAGCACAAGGTAGAATAAAGCATCACTTCCTATTAAAGGAAACCGCTTAAGACGCATCAAATAGTTCTGTGGCTTTATCTTTCGGTAGCGATTAGGAGGTGCGATGCGATGGGCCGGCACTGGGGGAGGGGGCGGAGCAGCCGCTGCCGGCTGCCCGGAAGGGGGCGTGGCCTCAAATCGTTCTCCCGATTTGCGCATGCGTCGCTTGAGCTGGTCACGTGAGAGAAGCAGCCAATGGGGAGTCGCGTTGTTGCGCGGTGCCTAAGGCAGGAAGGAAGGGCTCGCCCGCCCGCTCGCCCGACGGTGTCCGCCGTGGCTCCGGCTCCTCGCCTGGCCCCGCCGCTACGGCATGCGCTGAGCGCCCGCACCGCCCCGTCTGCTGCGCGCCCGGCGCCCGCCGGCACTGCCCGGCACCGCCGCCCCTTCCAGGTGAGCTGGGGGTATTGCTGCTGCGGGCCCGTTCCGGTGGAAGGAGCAGGCCGGAGCTCTCGGTTAACTGGAGCCCTGTGGTGTGAGCGGCTCGGGAAGGGCTGAGGGAGCTGCAGTTGTTCAGCCTGGAGAAGGCTCTGGTGAGACCTCAGCGTAGCCTTCCTGCGCCTAAAGGGAGCTTAGAAGCGGGAGAGGGAGCGGTTTTGCGCGGGCATATAGCTATAGGACAGAGGGGAACGGCTTTAAACTGAGCGAGAGGAGATTCGGGTGAGATGTGAGGAGGAAACCCTTCACTCTGAGGGAGCTGAGGCGCTGCCCAGTGCTGGGGGTGCCCCATCCGTGGAGGGGCATCCTGGGCAGCTTGAGCTGGTGTGGGCAGCCAGCCTGTGACAGGGCTGGAGCTGGGGGCTGTGAGGTCCCTTCCAACCCAACCATTCTCTGAACTGCTGCAGTTATGCCTATGGAGTTGTGTCGTTTGAGCTTTTAAAGGGAAAAGGTGAACTCTGGCCAAAAGAGCTGCTGCTGTGCTCTGTAGCTGGGCATGGAAGTACTACTAAAGAAAGGCGTTTCCTGGTTCAGCTGAGGTCAGGTGGTTCTGTGGCTGTGCTTACAGCCTGTTCCCTTGATGGACTAGCTCTAGGCTCACCTTAGGGGGCTCAGCCACCAGCATGCAGCTCTGCAGCATAACCAGGGCCTTGCAGCTCCATCCTTCACAGCAGGGCTTTGCTTGGGTGGGCACTGGGGATCCCAGCAGCACCATGTCCTGCTACCTGGCAGCTCACATACCACCCTGCTGCCATTTAACAGATTGCACTGAGACAGCTCAGCCTCTGTGCCCTGCCCTGTGCAAGTGTTGTGCCTGTCTGAATGTGCCTATGCCTTCAGCACAAAGCATGCAATACTTTGACGTACTGTGTAAGCAGGCAAACAGTTGTGTGGATTTGCAGGATGTGTCATGAGGTTTTTAATTGCAGCTGATTAAGCTGAGCCTTAAACGCTGTCGCAACAATGTCAGCAGCATTTCCTGCCCCTGGCAGTGGCACAGGTGTAGTTGATGTTGGGAGAAGCACTTGGCTGCCTGGTTCTTCAGTGCCCGTCCTGCCCTGTACGGTGGGGCCTGATACATGTGCTATCCTTGTGGCTGAAGTAAATTCTCCATTTCTGCCTGCCAGACCCAAATGTTGAAGGCATTGCTGCTCTCTGCATGCTGTCAGTGCTGCTGTGACCAGCACTACTGGTGACAGAGTACTTGCTTGTCCAGCTGCTGCTCTGCTTTGCAGAACAGCTGCTGGCTGCACAGATACCTCAAAGCCCTTTGATAGTGAGGTGTCTCTGGGCAGGTGAAATTGAAGTGTGGGTGAAATCGTTTGGATGCTGGCTTAGCATTGGGTTTTGCTGTGTCCAGCACGTCTGAGCCCTCAAATGATTGCAGTTGCCATGTGTTCAAGTGTTTCATTCTGCTGCCGAGCTGATCAGTCTGCTCTGCTGTGTTTTGCTTTGTGCTGCTTCAGCACCTTCACACTGGCAGTTTGTGCCAGGCACGTGGGTGAGCTGTTGAGAACTGCAGGAATGTACCTCGACGTCTGACCTTCACTGTCAGATGCACTAAAAGTTTGTAGCACACAGAGGACTTGCTGGCTCAGACACGATGCGTGTTGTGTTTATCTTGCTCATCTCTGCTTATCCTGACGACTGTCAGAATCCTGGTTTGCTGCTGAGCAGCCAACTGATGTTCTCAGGGAACTGTGCAAGCATGGATTTTTCCCTCGTGGTTAATGCGAATTGGCAACCTTTGCCTGTTTCTAGCTGGCATTCCTTATTTGTCTACTGACATGCAGGCACTGCCTTCCAGTGTGTTGGTGTTTTGTGTGTTGGTCTTTTGGCTGTGAACGTGTTCTATGACTGTGAACAACTTTGGATTTTGCTACCCTGAAAATCTGTGCTTTATCCCAAAGTTCTGTAGGCAAACTTTGGTGCGTATCGGTTAATCTGTTCTTCCCTCCAGTTGTCATGGATCTGCTGAACAGATTACACCTGGGTGCCTTTCCCTTAAGAGCTCATGCTGGATTTTATTTCCTGTAATTTATTCCATTTAGTCTGCCAGAGACTCTCCCTTTCACCTCTGTGACTTTTTTCCTCTTTAAAAGCCTTTATGGGATGCTTATAGTGCGTTTTGGGAGTGAAGCTGATGGCTCTCTCCTAGCATTCTATAACCAGTGTGTGCAATATCTCCATTCATAAGCTGACACTGGAGGTGCCTCGTACCCACCAGGAGCTGACTCAGCTGTGGCAGGCAGTGCAGCCACATTCCTGCTTTGTTCCCTGTGCTGAGTGACAGGCTGTTCAGCGAGAGCTCCGCCTTCTCTCAGCGCTCCTCTTTAAACACTCATGTCTTCAGTGTGGGGCACTGCAAAAAGACCCAGAGCTTTACGCCTTGCTCTGCTTCCCCCTCTCCTAGCAGGAAGGCGGCAGCTGCAGCTGGTTGGTTTCCCAACCTTAGTTTGTAAGTCAGTTTGGAATTCCTTGGTTTAAACTTCTTGCTGTGGGTGCCAGAATCTATTTTGAATGCTACAAGCTTGCAGCAGAGCCAGTGGTGTGCTGAACCAAGTGTGGGCGTCTCATGCTGGAAAACACCACTGAGAAAGGAAGAGGAAAACAGCCTCATTGGTGCACATTATGAGTACAGATCTCGGAGAGCAGCGAGCCTGGGAGCCTTCTGCCAGCTGGGGAAGGGAATATATTGTCAGTTGTTTTCAGCAGCCTCTGGAGGTTGCTGCTGGTGCCTTTGTGATGGAGCACGTGCTGTGCCTGAGTTGAGACAGCTCGGTAACTAGGACAGCGCCTCGTGATGGAGATGGGCTTGGAATTCCCTCTCCCAGCCTTTGCACTGTGCTGATTTCTGTCTCTTTGAGTCACTGCATGCATCTTGTGTGCAGCTGTTTGTTCTAATTCTGGGATGGCAGCGGGCCTGCATGCAGATGAGCTGCCCGGGGTTCCTGGTTCTGGGAGGAGCAGCCGTGCTGGATGCCTGCCGTGCTCAGTGCTCACGTGGTGCTGCCTTCCTCCATCACCTTCTGCTGCTGAACGTGCCTCTGCTGGACCCTCAGCCTTCAGCTCCTGCAGTGCTGCTGTCACAAGGCAGATTTTCTCTTCTGTGTCTCGACAAGAGGAGCTTTAACAACAGAACCCTCTTAGCAATTCTTACTCACCCAGAGGAGTGGCAGGAGGAAGCTGAGCATTCTGCAGTGTTCTCTGGGGATGCTTTGTGTGGCAGCAGCCTGCGTGAAATCACGGCTCCTGTGATGCATCCAGAGCTGTAGGGGGAAAGAACAGCCCTGAGAGCCTCTCATGGTTGCCAGGTTAGCATGAGTGTGAGTGAGCAGAGGACAGGGGTGCACGTGTGGATGGATTTCTCTGACAGTGAGTGTTCTTATCTCAGATATAACTACTGTTTGTTCCACAGGTACAGCTGATTTGGTCTTCTTGCTGAGTATCCTTTTGGGATCTGTTTCACACTGTGATCCTCCCTGGCAGAACTGCTGCGATTCCAAGAGTTTGGCTTTTGGACTTCAGTCCCTTGGCGAGTGAACTGCAGCCTGGGCACGGTGAAAGCAAAGTGCAGAGCCAGGAACAAGGTGCCAGTTTCCTAGTGATGTCTGCAGAGTGTAGGTGCTGAGGCAGGTCTGGCTGAGCAGCATGGGGTGAGCCTGGAGGAGGGGCCTGGCCCACCATTCAGTGAGGTTACATGGGAAGGCAGGAGCTCAGCACCTTTTCAAATCCAGTTGCAGTTTTATTGTATTAAATAAAAGGAGCACAGTAACAGGGGTATCTGTGTGGGACATTCCCTGCGAGACCAGTAACCTAAAAAAGTGCTTAAAGTGAAATGCAGAACAGAACTCTTTACTCCTTGGTTGGAATAAGGCCTTTGGCTGTTTCACATCAAAAGGTTTCATGTGAATCTGACCCCCAGCACTGGGTGCTGTGAGGTGGAGGCACAGAGCTGTGCAGTCCTGCAGTGCTCACAGCCAGCAGCAGAGCCCGGGGCTGGGAGAGACTGCTGTGCTGCTCTTTGTGTTTGGAGCAGCTCTTCACCTTCCCTCCAGCCTTTGTCTCATCCTCTTTATTTGCAAGTGGGACAGAATGTTGGATGTGAATAAAAACTTTTCTTTCTCCCCTGGGAATCTCATCTTGTGATGCTCTGGGGGTTGTCCTTGTGGCCACGTGGGGATTTGTTGCTGTGTTGGGAGTAGCCCCACAGGGAAACCCAGCTCTGCAGTGCTGTGCCTGCACGTCTTCCAGGCTGCCAGCTGCCCTGCTTGTGCCCAGCACACGCTCTGCTCCTGTAAGTGAGGCGCAGCTGCTGCACACGCGTTGGTCTCTGAAGCAGGGCTGTGATCTGGCAGAGCCAGTGCACTCCTTGTTGAGTATCTATGTGTGATTCCAGTTGGTATTTGTTTAACTTCAGTCTTAGTTTGTCTTGGGTTTATTCTGCCAGGGAACTGGGTGGTTTTATTTCTGGTCAACAGCATTTGTATCTGATGAGCTGCTTTGGATGGCAGTGGGAATCTAATCAGGAATTTGGGTAAGTGGCATTGTAAGGTTGTTCATTCTTCGAATCCAGCTGATGTTTGCAGGATGCACAGAGCAGAAGCATTGTTAGGGCATGTCTGATAGCCCTAAAAGAGGGAAGCCTTGTTGGATTGCTTGGCCAGGCTGTGTGGAAGGCATAGAATTGCCTGAAGGGTTTTCTAAAGCCCTTACACAGTTTCTCACTGAATTCTAGTGAGTGTCTGCTTTGTCTTGCATTTGAACATCTTAGATGTAGAGTGTTGGTTCAGGGTGGTTAGCTAAATTTCTCTGGGAATAGAACGTTATGTAGAGCTTCTCATCTTATTTCTTATATGCAAGAGCTCTAGAAAGGAAGGAGAATTTCCTGCTCCGGAGAGAAGTTTGAGCTGAGGTTTCTTTGCTGTGAATCACCTCATTCAGGGAAAGAACGTGTCCCTTGAGCTGCTGGCTCAGCTGAGCTCCAAGCAAGGCATGCACAGTAGGAGCTGGGGGTGCTGGTGGCAGCAGTGCACAGCCTGGGTGCCAAATATGATGGGTTAGTTTGCAGCAGGTTCCTCTGCAGCCAGCCCATACACAGAAAGCCAAAACTGCTTCCTTCCACCTGGGGCTTTCATGTAATGTTTTGCTGAGTTTATCTCAGTGAAGCGAGGCACAAGGCTGTGGATGCTCAGAGCCTTCATGCTTTCGTGTCATTTCCTTGAAATTCATTTGAATGTTAAAGATCTGCAGTTTTTAGGTAGGAAATGGACTTGAAACTGGCTTTTTTTTCCTTTGTACTTCTGATCTGCTGTTCTGAAGAAAAAAAAAACCAACCCAACGACCAACCAAGCTGACTGTGAAAGTGATGCACAAAGCAGAGCTTCCCTTGGCACAGGGTCCTGTCAGCTCTTACATCAGTACTTGGCCAGCAAATGCAGATGAGATGTTATTTTCTCTGAAGTGTTTTGCTGCTCTAATTGTGCTGCTGTGATCTCAAGCTCTTCCTAACGGGCAGAGGAGAGGCTTAGAATTCACTTTGGTAGCAGCTGTGATGGCTGTACTGCAGACGTACGTTGATGTGCACTGTGTGAGTTAATTTCTGCCTTGTACTGTCAGGTGCTTGGTTATAACCTCCCTTTTCTGTGGGTTAGGGCAGCGTGAGGCTGCTCTCTGGGCTGCAGGCTTTTGGATGTGCTGGCAAATTGCTCGGATGTTTCAGTCTCATCTGCTCCATATTCAGCTATTGCACTCTTTCCAACAGCATCACGTGCCATTCCAGCCTCCTGCCTGTTTTCCACTTTAACCTTCCCATCCCTGCATGGTGGGGTTGGGCTTTTGGGAAGGACCTTAGCAAGCTATGGGAGATGGAAGTGGAATTTAGTTTGTCCTGGTTGAAGAAGCCTGCTATGGCTGCCTATGGAGTGGCTTCCTCAGGCTGGGCACCTGCATGCTTGTCTCCTGGTGCTTCATTGTTCCCTTGGTCTGTTTCTGGCAAAACAAAGTTATCAGGGTGCTGGAACTGAAGGTGTTTGAGCCCAGCTGCATCCAAAAGCCGGGCTGTGGGAGGACACCTGCTTTGGTGCCCAGCAGATTTTGCATGGTGTTAATGCCCTGTGCTGGTCACCAACCCTGTCCTGCATGTGCAGGAGTGCTCCTGTGTCCGGTGTAGGCAGGCTGTGGGTTTTGGCACAGGTTGTTACTTCCTCAGAAACCATTTTCTGGACATGTCCTTCTTATTAGCTGTCTCTTTGTGTGATCTGGCCTGCGTATTTTTCCCCTGTTGGCAGTAGTTCATGAATATTTCAGTTTTTAATTGTTAAGCAGGTGTTCTTCTTTCCTGCAGGTACCCATGCAGCCTTTTCCAGCTTCTAGAGGGCTGTGTGCAAGCCAAACCAAGCTTCACGTGTTGCCACAGTGCCCGGCTTGCACCCAGCTGCAGCCCAGAGAGCCTGGGGCTGAGGCAGCGATTGCAGCCAGTTGGTGCTTCTGCAAGCAGTGAGGAAAAGAAAAATAATTACAGAGCGCTGTCACAGCTGATAATCAGCTTATATGTGAGGATTTGGAGTTCCTCTGCCGTTAGTCTAAGTGGTGCCACTCCATCACTGCCACTTGAGCGTGGTTTATCTTGTCACTTCACTTCTCCCTGCAAATCTGGGGGAAGAATTTTCATCAAGTGCTGCTGCAAACTGCAGTTGCCCTCCGTTCTCCCTGATTTCATAGAGATAGACCTACCAGGTAACACATAGTGCTTGCTTGGCTCTTAGAGAGTGTAATGATTGCTAAACATGAACTGATCCTCACAGGACGGCCCCCATGCTGCTGGCTGAGTGCTCTGGGGCGCCCCAAAACCTGACTGTGTCCCAACTCTTTCTTTCATCCCTAATTTACTGACACTGAGAGGATTTGATAGTGGTTGACTGAGAAGAGGCATTGACTTACAGGGTCATCAAAACTTCTCAAGAGTGAGAAGATCTGTGGTAAGAAGAGCAATGCTGCTGCAGAGCTGAGCTCAAGGGTGAAGTTGCGGTGCGTTGGGCTGTCACTGCAGGGCTGGCAGGCCCAGATTTGGACCCCCCAAGATGTCACACCTGTCTTAGCTGTCAAAGTAGTTTTAAAACCAGTGAGACTACAGATATTGTGTGGGTTTTTTTTAGGTGCTTGTTGTTTTGAAACTAACATTTGGAGTGATTGTGAAAGTAGCTTGATAAGCGTGCAGCCACGGTCCGGTGAAATAGCTACAGTTCTTCCTGGGTGCTTCTTCAGAGAGGAGCAGGTGAGCAAAGGAAGCTGGCTCACCGACCTGGGAGCGTGGAGCTGGGGCTGGACCTGCTGTGGCTGGGGGAACAGCAGGGAAAGGCACTGCAGGAGAATTGGTGGTGCGTGGTTGTGTGTGTGTCAGAGCAGATCAGGCTCAGGTCGTTGTTGTGTGGACCCTGCGTGCCTTTTTGCTGTGTTTTATGATGGAATTCTTACACTGCTCAAACGGCGTCTGCAGCCCCCTGTGCTGAAATCTGCTCATCTCAAGTCTCTGAATTTAAAAGCAAGGGTGCTGGAGAGCTGAGCAGCCCCTTCAGCAGCAGGCAGTGCCCAAGTGCTGCAGTTTGCAGCTTTTCTCTTCAAGCATTTCAAACCCCCCAGCTACATCAGTGCTCCTCCCAGCTTGGTGCAAACTGACTGAGGGTGCACTCAGCTGGAAGAACAACTCCCTGCACACCAAGAGCTGCCCTGGCACAGACACCTGCCTGTGTTCCATCCTTCCTGATGTGCTTTCTTGTCTTGCAGGTGTGAATGACAGAGGAGGTGCCTCCGACCGCGCTCACCGACGTGAACCTGCGTCTGCTGTGCCACGATGACATAGATGCAGTGAAGCAGCTCTGTGGTGACTGGTTCCCAATAGAGTACGTTGCTGTGTGGATATGGGTGGTGGCACCAAGCAGGAGCCTGTGCTCTGAGCTGCAGCCCTGGGCTGGTGCTGAGCAGGCAGCAGTGCTGAAGCTCCTGTGCACCCCGGTGCTGCTGGTGGTGATGGTGGCCTGCTGCCACGAGTCCTGGTTCAGCTGGAAGGCCGTGCATGCGTGGTTATTGGCAGAAGGATGGGCTTTGCAATCAGTGGTGCTTCCTGCAGAACACTGGAGGAGATGGGGAAGAGAGGGCGATGGGCACCCTCTGCAGTGGGCTTTTGTTGAGGCCAAGCCTCTGGGTAGAGGAAACTTGTGCAGAACTCTTGTCTGAAGCCTCACAGTTTTGTGTTGGGTTTGGTTTTTTTTTTTTTTCATTGAAAATATTCCTGCTTCTCCACTCTCTTAGCATAAAAGCTTTTTATTAGTCTTTTCTGTAGCTCTGCTTTGAGCACCAGCTCAGTTCCCCACGTGCTAAATGCTTGTGTCTGCACAAGCACAGGACTGTCTGAAACTTTCTGTCTGAAACTACAGCTTCAGGTTTTAAAACTTTTAATCTTTTTTTCCCTTTGAGAGGGTTTATAGAGGATGTTAGCAGGCTGTAATTAAGATCATGAGCAACAAACCAGCAAAAGCATTTGTGGAGTTTAGAATTTGTATCTCTGCTTAAGGTAGGAGGCGTGCTGAATTCTCTTGAACCTAAATAAGTGTATGCTGGCTTCCCTGTGGTGGCATGGAGCAGGGAGGGCACCTGGAGGCTGCTCACGTGGTATTTTGATGCACATTGGTACAAAATAATATCTTTTTTCTTCCTTCCAGGTACCCTGACTCATGGTACCGAGATATCACCTCCAACAAGAAGTTCTTTTCCCTCGCAGCCACGTACAGAGGCTCCATCGTGGGAATGATAGTGGCAGAGATCAAGAGCAGAACAAAGGTGCATAAAGAGGTAGGAAACCTGTGCTTCAGTTTGAGACGCTCTGCTCCTTGCTGCGGTGAGCTGGGATGGAGCTGCTTGGGGGCTCTTTCCCAACTGCACTCAGAAGCTGTCCTGAACTGATTGTGAAGAGCCAGGAATGTGGTGCTTTCCAGCTAAGGGAGCCTGAGGGGTGGGGTGTGTTTGGACTTGTGGTCTGTCACAGAAAGTCCCTTCCTGCTGGGGTTGGGCAGCTGTGCTCTGATAGCAAACTCGCTTCCTGACTGCAAAGAGAAATCAGGTAATGCTGCTGTGGTCTCCAAACTCCTTCAGCTCTGTTGCCTGGCTGTTCTCAGTGTGCCTGAGAAGTTCGTGCAGCCAAAGGACAGCAAAACTACTCCTCTCTTACACAAGCAGTGCACTTAGCTGTGCCAGGTGAGTCACTGCTGCGAGCTGTCTTCCTGAACAACCTCAGTGTCCTTCATTTCACAGTCACTTCTTGAGCACAAAGCAGAGGCGACCAACCTGCAGGAAGGTCAGGCCTCGGGGTGACAGAGCTCAGAGGCCTGGAGAGAAGCACAGTGTGCTCAGAAAGGGGAAGGAGAGGTGGCTGCTGAAGAGGGTGAGACAGGAGACCCCAGGGGAGTGTAGGGAGGGCAACGTAGGAAAGCGTGGAAAGTGGTGGGCTTAAAGGCCATCAGCACTGTGATGGTGTGGAGCAGTCAGTAACTCCTGCAGGAGCCAGGTGCTCGAAGTGGCACTGGGCTCTTCACTCTAGCTGACTTCACCCTAGAGTTGGTTGAAGTCAAACAGAGTCTTCAGCAGTTAACAAAAGGCTCTTGTTCTAACCACTGAAAGCCAGGGCTTATCCAGACTCTGTCCCAGACAGCTGGGCTTATAGAGCATGTTCCTTGTCCTCTCCAGCTGATACGAAGCCCTGAGCAGGCAATCAAGTCCATTGCTGCTAAACTGGTCTGATCCAGGCCCTGGTGTGTGACTGGGCTTTGGCGGTGTGAATCCTTCTTGGTAAAGAGTGCAGATACATTGTGTCCTTAGGCCTGCAAACCATGTATATAGTAAAGAAACATTGTGGTTTGTGTTCTGTGGCTGGAAAGGCCAAGCAAAAGTGGGAGTTCACCCAGAGGACAGCACTCCTTTCATCTTTCTCCACTGATCAGTGAAGATTCCTGCTTTGTTTTCATGTGTTCTGGTACAAGATTCTTGCTTTCTCCTCTGCCTTGCCAGGTACCTGACTAAATACCTTGTCCTATCTCTACTCAGGATGGAGACATCCTAGCTTCCAATTTTCCTTTGGACACTCAAGTTGCTTACATACTCAGTCTTGGTGTGGTGAAGGAGTTCAGGAAACACGGGATTGGTGAGTTGCTAAATGACAATTCTGTGGGCATCTGTGGGCACGGGTCATAAAGCTGCACCACTTCACTCCAGTTTCCTTTTGAGAAAACCTTCTCTGTGATTGATCCCAGCACTTGCAGAGATGCTCTCACATCCACTTTGTGCTGCTCGTGTGGCTTTAAACTTACAGCTTAAACCAACAGAAGTGTTTAGAGAGAGCTGAAGGAAACTGGAAGAGGAGTGTAACTCAGACTTGATTTAACCTGTCACATCCATGTGAGCTCTGAATCCCTGCTGCAACACACAGCAGTTTTGCAGCCAATTGGGAATCTTGCAGCCAGAAGGGCTCGTCTCTATTTGGAGCAGGAAGTTGTCATCACTGAGTGCCCTTCTGGTGCAATTTCAAGCATGATCTGCATCTTTGATCTGCCAAAGGAAGGAGGTCAGGTTTGGCAGCATGACTCACTGTTGCATATCTGGAGCCTCTTCAGTGGGTACAGCTATGGGCTGTATCTCCCTTCCCCCTTCCTTTAGAAAGGTAAGAGTTGGTAGGATGTGTAAAGACCTCAGTGGGAGGCTGTAATTAAACCTTAAGTTGAAATGCTACTTTAGATAGATTATCTGTGTAAAGAATAAAGTGCTCACACAGAGCAGTGCTTAGGTAAGTCAGTAAAGGGGCATTCTGTAAAACTGGGGCTGTTTGAGGGCCCCTTCAGTTTCCAAATCACCATTCTTTTCAGCTCCATGTTGCTGGACTTTCCTCCTTACAGCATCAGCATTTCCATTAAATCCAGGCAGCGTGTCCAAACCTTTGCACTGCACCTGCAGCAGAAGAACCTTAAGGAGCTGCTGCTGCTTTTTCTGAGAGCTTTCCAAAAGTTTTTCTACTCATGTTTGAAGCTGCAGTCTTACATGTAGGAGGTTTTTCCCTGCGAGTACATTTTAAAAGCACTGGAGCTGTGATTTCTGCTGGCAGGCATTAGAAGCTTTTCGTATCTGGTTCTCTGCTCTTCTCAAACCAGAATGCACTTGCCTTACCGTGAGCTGTGAGTGGCATATCTGATAACAAAATTAAACTGCTCTCCCGTTGAGGTTTCTGTGTCTTTTTGTGCTTGGCTGATAACAAATTCCTGCTGAGTCTGAAGTAACGTAGTGTCGGCGCTGCTGGCTTCTGCTGTGAAATCCTGCAGGCCCTGCAGAAACCCAGCTGTGCCCTGAGGATTGTGAAAGAGCACGTTTCATCTCAGTGCTTGGATTAGCCTTTAGGCTGTTGTTAGTGCTGGAAGGAGTTAGTCCTGCAGCTTCTGCTGGCTCCTTCCCACGCTGAGGTGGCTTGGATGAGCCTCCAGGTCCCGTCTGCTGGGGCTCTGTGTCCTCTGTGCCCTTCTCTGGTTTCCCTGCTGCTCTCCTTTCCTTGTGGCTGAGCAGATACAGGCTGAGTGAGACAACGACTCGCCCTTCTCCTAAGAAGGGAGCTTAAATCCTACCAGCTCTTTTCTTTAAATTTCATGTACTCGGTGCAATGATCTGCTTGTCAAATCCTGTTGTCTCTGCTCTTTTAAATGCCTATAAAATCAGTGAGCAGATGGAAGCGATACCGCTGCAGGTGACTCAGTGGCCTTATGCAAAGCTGGGTGCTGTGTGGTGGGAATGGGTGCTGCTGGCAGAGTTCCTTTGTGGTCGCTGAGCCAGAAGGGTTTGTCTTTATCACTCTGTTCTGTGAAACCAGGCTCAGAGGTGAGACGAGGTTTCCATTAAAACCCTGCAGTGCTGCCCTGTTGAATGTCCTCATGGCGCCCTGGGGAGCGGGGGGATCTGATCTCTTACACGTGTGCAGCAGTTGCTGCTTGGCTGCTGGCTGCCAGAGATCTCAGCCAGGAGCTCTGCAGAGCTGTGCTGGCCCTGAGGGACGCAGCTGCACTGCCTGATTCTGCTCTTCTTTCTTTCAACAGGTTCGCTCCTGCTTGAAAGTTTAAAAGACCATATATCAACGACTGCCCAGGATCACTGCAAAGCCATCTACCTGCACGTCCTCACCACTAACAACACAGCAATAAACTTCTATGAGAACAGAGACTTTAAACAGCACCACTACCTGCCCTATTACTATTCCATAAGAGGGGTCCTCAAAGATGGCTTTACCTACGTCCTGTACATCAACGGTGGGCACCCGCCCTGGACGATCTTATATCCTTTGGGTTCAGCCTGGTGTCCAGCGAGGCATCAGCCATGGCTGGGCCTAAAGATGGCAAGCCAGCCGAGTGTGACCTGCCTGTGTGTGGGGACTGATGCCTGCTCAGATGGGAGCTTGGTTGGACTGATTTCCCTGCAGCCAGAAGGAAGGCACTGTTAGACAGGTTCAGATCCACTTGTGCCCAGACTTCCCCAGCTCTACTGGGAACAGTGAAGGATGGGAAATTGAATTTGAAGCTGAGGCCAGTTTCTGTGGATGCTCATGTTAAACCAGCATACCAGGCACGCTTTGCTTTGCATGGTGCAGATTTGGCTGGCACTGTGGCAGAAAAGCCCTTGGTCTTGCTTCCTGCCACTGGGCATCCTGTGACCCTGGCCTGGCTGAGGTCTCAGCAGGCTGCTCTCAAACTGAATTTGGGAATTTATTGGGTCCTGGTAAAGAGACTTGATCTCTCTCAGGTATAACTAATTATTCCAGATCTCTCCAGGCAGGTGAGTGTATTTCAGCCCCTGCAGGAAGTTGCTGTGGAGTGCTGGAAGCTAGCAGCTGCTTTGGTGGGCTATTTCCCACCCAGGTTGTAGCTGAGCTGGAGTTGTAACAGTAGCTGATGGTTGGCCTAGATGATTTTACAGGTCTTTTTCAACTTTACTGATGCTGCTATTCTATTTCCAAATCGTCTCATCTTACGGTGCCAGGTGTACCTGCTTGTGACAGAAAGGAGCAGTCGTGCAGTGCTAGGAGCTGGTCTGTCTAATGAGCTGAGCAGAGCAGCCCTCGCTGTGTCAGAGGGTCTCTGTGGCAGGTAGCAGTCCATTGAGAACGTCAGGTTAGCTCTGAAGTCAAAGTATCACCGTCGCTGTCCTTAACAGATGGCCACTGACTACCTGCAGCACATCGGATCCACGCTGGCCAGCCTGAGCCCGTGTTCCATCCCCCAGAGGATATACAGACAAGCCCAGAGCCTTCTCTGCAGCCTTCTGCCATGGTCTGGCATTTCTGCCAAGAGTGGCATCGAGTACAGCCGCACGATGTGACCTCAGCGGATGCACACAGCACAAAGGTTGGTGCCTGAGGGTGGGCTCCCTTCTGGCCCTGTCTGGGGAGCTGGGAGTGTGCTGGAGCTGCCTGCCCACCTCCCTGCTGCGCCCGTGTGTGAAGCATCGCCGTGCCCTGGCCTCCAGCTGCCAACCTGCTGGTTTCATGTGAAGGGAGTTTGAACTCTCCTCTTGTTTACGTGGGCTCGGAGCTTTAGAGCAGATTAAAACTGTCCCTGCTGCCTCTGGCCCTTTTCCCAGCCGTTAGACCGGCTTTGATGGGTGGAGTAACTGAGCCTCCACTTCACTGACACAATGTCCAAGTCAGGAACCGAGAGCCAGTGTGCACAGATCTGACTAAAGTCTGTGGATCTTTGAGACCCAGTACACTTTGAGACCCATTAACAACTGTTTTCTCTAAGACAGCTTCCCTCTTTGTCTTTCCTTAGGGATCGTTCTTCCTTTCATCTCCTGAACCATCTGGCTCTGCACTGATTCCAGTGATGATGGCTCTTGGTCAGTGACCCACCCCCTGCAAAAGACTCCTTATTCCACAAACTGACCAAGATTTTGCAGACTTCACCCTGGACGGGCTGTAGCCCTGACTCACCCTGTGGGCTGGAGCCCGTGAGCGCTCCTGGGAGGCTGGGCTGCCAGCGGGCACTGGGCTGAGGGCTTCCATGTCACCGGTCTGTGAGCATGTCACACTGTCCCTGCCACTTCCCTCGCCTCTGGATGGTTTGCTTGGATGTGATGGGGAGGGGTTCAGTTGCTGCTTCCACGCCACAGCTGCTGAAAGCAGTATGAATGAGGTGAACTGACTGTGAGTGAGCAGTGAGCACCCTGGGAGGAGTGGAGCTGCATGGCTGCGTCCTGCCTCGCTAGGGAATCCAGGCAGGGCATCTGCCCCAGGTGAGAGTCGGCCCCAGCCCTTCAGAGGAGGGGGGTGTAAAAAGTACCTGATCCAGGATGCACCAAGTAGAAGGCAGGGGATGAAATTGCTATTTCATAGTGAAATATATATTATACTGTATAGATCTTTCTGCCTCTTTCCAAGCTGGAACAGAGCAGGGGAGGGCCTGGAGCTGTGGGACCGCTGTGGTAGGCAGAGCCCTTCCCCTCCCAGCAAGCATCCTCCTTTGGCACTGGGGCTGCAAGCTTGCAGGATCTTTAGGGCAGAGTGCTGCATGCAGATCACTACAGCTCTTTGTTGCAGAGAAGCCCCCCAGCTGCTTGCTGGGTGCTCCAGGCCGTGTTGCCACGGGGCTGCACTGTCAGCTGCCCTCCCTGCAGCCCCGGGGCTGGGCTCAGGGGCTGTGTTCCCCAGCACCAAGTAGCCATGCTGCTGGGAGAACCCCGAGGCTCCTGTGTGCTGCAGCTGGGCCGGGTCCCTCCGTGATCCCTGCCCCTCGAAGCGAGTGCTTTGCTGCTAGGCTGAGAGTCTGCAGCCCCGTCAGCACCAGTGCTGGAGGTGTGGGGAGCACTGTGTCCCCACTGCGTCCTCTGCCCTGGTGAAGGCTTCCCATACTCGGCGCTGTGCTCCTCCTTCCACTCTTGTGCCCCTCTTGGAAGTGAGGCTTAAGTGAAGGGCAGTGTAAGCTGTGCAGGTTCTGGTGTGCAGGGCCAGCTCTGGTGGTGGGTGAGGGCAGGGAGCGGGGATGAGCCATAGTCTGGGTCAGGTTTAGACCTAGAAGGAGCAAATGGGGTAAGAGCTTGCAGCCCTGATACCATACAAAGTCATTTCAGTGTTTGTAAGCCCCTAAGATGAGAATTAAACAATAAAAGGGTGTGGAGGAGAGCTCACTGCATGGTGCTGTGCTGGTTCATGTGAACGGGGCCAGAGTGGCCCAGTGCTGCCTTGGCTCAGAGCTGCTGGCACAGTAGGCAGCGCTGGCGCAGCATTTCCCTGCTCTGCACAGCTCTGACTGCAGGAAGGATTTCAGTCCGGCTGATGGTCTGGCAGATACTTTATTTGGGGAAGCAGAGGCTGTTGGAGGTGCTGCTCACTTTTCTGGAATGAGAGCAGGGCTGCTTGACAGGAGAAAGAGAATGTGTTTCTGGGAGGAGGATTGTGCCTGCCAGAGTGCAGTGCAGGGAGCTGCAGGGAGAGCCAGGGCTGGCACACAGTGCTGGCTACGGTGCAGCTGGGGAGGTTCTGGCTGGGCAGGGAGACCATCCCTGGCTGGGGCATGGAAATGATGCAGTGTGGGCTCTGCCTGTGGCTGTCAGCATTCCCTGCTCGTGGAGCTGCACAGCCCTGCAGCCACAGCCCGGCAGCAAGCGCAGCGTGGTGCAGCTGCATGCAGAGCAGAGCGTGCCAGCACTGCGCACAGTGCAGCAGAACTGCTCCAGGTTGGTTCCCTGTGTGCATTTCCCCCCGCTATGCGTTCAGGCAGCCCTGGCCAGGCACCAGCTCGCAGGGGTGGTTGGCAGTGGCACAAAACCTTACCTGTGCCCCGAGGGCCTCATGCATGTAAGGCACCGCTGCCCTTTGCCGCAGGGCCAGTGGCTGCGTGTGGGTCCCCCTGCATGGGGCTCCCTGCCCCCACGGCCCCGTGGCTGTGCTCGCAGCGCTGGCTGTGCTTTGGCTTTGCTGTGGTGTGAGCCGGGCAGCTCTGTTACCTGCAGGCCCTGCTCAGGCTGCTGCCCCTCACCCAGCCTGGCTGCTCCCAGCGGCAACTGTGGTGCCTGCAGCCCCTCCTCATCACAGCTCTTGCTCCTGGGAGCCCCGAAGCGCTCTGTCACCCTCATGTGTGTAACTGTTTTTTCCTTTAGCTCCGCCACTTCCTACCTGAACATTCCTTGTGGTTTGTATGAGTTTATTTAGCAACGGGAGGTCCTGCTTTTCTATGGCATTTATGTCCTCTAGACCAGAATGAATCTCCATGTTCCTGGCACTGATGTGACGTTCCTCCCCCCATCCTTCTGCCCCTGTGCACCCCAACTCCTCAGCTGCTGCCCTTAGGCACATCCCTGGGGGAGCAGAGTGGTCTATGTGCCATCCTCCTGTCACCCCGTCCCCTATGGCATCACACCCCCACCTCACAGCCCGTTATTTATTGAAGAGCACCATGCTGCTGCCGTCAGCCTCTCTCTAAACGTCTTCAATTAAACCAAATCTCTTTTGTGAGTCGTTTGTTCATCACGGTTCTTCCCCCAGTGCTGCACTCTGCCACGATGTGTGCAGCAGCCCTGTGCTGGCTGTGGGGTGCTGCCTGCTGGGCACCTCTGGGGCCCTTGTGCAGGGCAGGACAGACACAGGCAGCAAATAGGGAAAGCAACACCCCTGCCTGAGCACATTGCCTGGAAAGGGACAGCGGTGGTGGAGGCAGCTCTGCTCTCACCGGCCCTGAGCTGAGTCAGCAGCTCTGCTGCAGTGACCACAGGTTGGGCCCGGGCTGGGGCACGGCTCAGCACCAGGATGGGGATGGAAAGGGGAGGCAGAGCTGCCATGGGGCAGGCAGGGGCTGGAGGTTTTAGCAAATGGTTTCTGCAGCCTGCAGAGCTGTGTGCCATGCGCAGGCCCTGCTGCAGCTGCGGGCTCAGGGCAGCTGGGCCAGGCACTGGCTGCCTGTGGCCTGGCAGCGGCAGCTGTTAGACAGCAGTGAATGCCCACCACACAGCCGCTGTGGCACTTGTAGCAGAGCTGCTGGCATCAACCACGTGCAAGAACTGTCTTGGGGTCACCAAACAGCAAAAGCTTCAGAAGTTTGCAGAGGTGCAGCACCCCAAATCCTGCGGCACCCTGCGCCCTGTAAGCTGTCCTGGCCCGCGGCCAGAGAGGTGCTTTGCTCGCTCCTCTCCAGGCAGAAGGGCCCCTGCAGGGACAGCAGCTCTGCAGCCTTCTGGAACCCCCCAGTGCTGTGCGCTGGCAGTCAAGAAAGATCCCGACTGCAAAGCGTTCAGCAAAGCCATTTATTCCACTTTCCTGCTCCCACAGACCTCCAGATAGAAACCCACACGAGTAGAGTATGTCCCAGTGCCCCAGAGGGAATTCAGTGCAAGTCACCGCGGGCACCGGCATTCCAATGGGAGCCCAGCCTCACAGCTGCCAGCAGAGCAGAGCCCTTCTGCCTGCAACGGCAAAGGCGCTTTACCAGCAGCCTTATTCCTCAGCTGTGTCCACTGCAAAACACAGCTGCGTCCAAGTCAACACAGGGCATCTCAAAATAAGAGTTTTGTTCCTTAAAAATGAAACCGGGACCTGAAAGCAGCAGTGTGTCCCTGAAATCAAAGCGTAATTCTAAGGCTTCAGCACCTTCACATAAGCACATGAACTCTCTGCAGGGGGCTGTGCAGATTGATCTGGGAAGCTCGCTAGAGTTTAATGGCCATAAAAATACATAGCTTTCCCCTGCTTCAGACAATTCCAAACCCTCCTGGCTACACAGCGGAATCTCGCAGCCAGCAACTGGTTGGAAAGTTAGAAGAAAGTCTCTAGTCTCCTCACCCACTTTTAATCAATTACAAACACGGTGGCATCACTCCATGGCTTCAGTCACCGGCTGCTCCAGCACGGCGTCTGCCCCGGGCTGCGCCTGCAGCTCCGCCACCACGGCCTCAGCCCCCGGCACGGCCGCCAGATGCTCCAGCACAGCCTGGCTCTCCAGCCCGGCCGCCTGCTGCTCTGCCAGCTCAGCCGCAGCGTGCGCAGCTGCCTGGTTCTCTCCGCTATCTGCGTATTCATTGCCTGCTCTGGCGGCCGCTGCCAGCTCGTTGGCCTGCTTAGCTGCTGCCATGGCCGCGTGGTCGATCGCCGGCTTCTTCGGCTTCTGTGTGGCAGCCACTGCCTCGGCCAGCTTCTCCTCCGGCACCATGTTCAAGATCTTCAGAGCAAAGAGCAGCTGGAATTTGGCAGTTCCAACAAAGGAGTTGGCCAGGAAGTTTGGCAGCCCACCCATGCGATCTTTCTGGGTGTAGAGGGGGACACGGACCATGCCCATCACCTGCAACGGCACGGAGCACAACTCAGCAGAGATCACGGCACCCCCCAGGCCCCGCACCCCCACCCAGGACCCCCAGCCCACAGCCCCGGTGCTTGGTGCCCCCCCCTACCCCCACCACAGCCTGCTCTCACCTGCCTCCAGCCCCACTGAAGCCCCTGCTCTGCCTCTCCCCACACCCCCAATTCCCTGCTCTCCCAGTCCCAGTCCCGTTCCCTGGTGAATCCCGCTGCCCGGGCTGCTATGGGCATCCCCGCTTTCCCCTCCCCACCCAGCTCTGCCTGGAGGCACTGCAGCACAGCCCTGTATCCTCAGCAGCACCACAACCCAGGGCCTGCCTCCTCTTCTCCTGCGCTCACTGTGTGCTCAGGGAGCACCCGAGAGACCCCCACGCCTCGCTCTGCCCTTAGGGTGGCCGAGCCGCGCAGGAGGAGCCCGTGTCCCTGCTCTGCTTTTGTGCGACCCCCGGAGAGCGCGGAGCAAAGCAGAGCACCGCCGTGCTGAGGTTCCGCTGCAGGTGTGAGACGGACCCCGCCCACATCCTGATGCAGAGCGGGTAAACGGGGCTCTTCCCTACTGAGGCAGCGAGGGGCAGGGCTGGAGCCCGCGGTGCATCCCCGGCTGCGGAGCTCCCGGTGGCCGCCGAGGGCTCCAGGCAGCGGGCGGGGCGGCCCAGCGGCTCCGAGGCGGGCGGGAAGGGGAGCTTTGTGTTCCCCACAGCCGCGCGCGGCCCCTCCCCACGCGCCCCACCTCCAGCCCGTGGTCTCGGGAGTGCACCGCGCTGATCTCGATGGTGTGCAGCTCCTCCAGGGTCAGCTGCCGGGCGTATAAATGCGCCACCACGCGATGCGGCCCGTCCGTCAGGTGCGAGCACAGGTAGTCGGCCTCCGTCAGGCGCACGCAGCCCAGGCCCAGGCCCAGCACCCGGTTCAGACCGTCCTCCAGGGACCAGTACCGGCGGTCCACGAACCCCCCGGGGAAGCCCAGGAGGCCGTCAAAGCGCATCTGCATCTGCAATAGGGGGCGGGGGTTAACGGGCCCGACCCGAAACGCGCCGCCCTGGGCCCCGCGCCCCGACTAGGCCCCGGCCCCATCCCTCGTCCCCTTCTCCCGTCCCCGGCCCCGGTCCCCGTGCCCCGGCCCCGCCCGTCCGTCGCCGCTCACCAGCACGGCGTAGCGCAGCGGGATGCGGCCGAACAGCATGCCCGGGTTGGGCGCGTACAGCATGGCGTGGCACGAGTGGCTCCAGCCCGGGCCCAGCCGCATGGCCTCGTACCGCGTCAGCGGCTTCAGCTCGGGCACGCCGGGCACCCCCAGCGTCGGCAGCGGCGGGAGGGACCCCGCGCCCGCCGGCAACGCTCCTACGGCCGCCATCACTCCCATGGCTCCCATGGCCGCCATCGCCTCGCCGCCCGCCCGCCGGCCCGCTCTGCGCACGCGCGGACGCGCCGACGTCGGAGGGCGGGACCGACGGCCGCCGTCGGCCAATGACGGCCAGTCGTGCGCCGCGCGACCAATCGGAGCCCGGCACCGCACGCCAATTCCCGCGGCCGTCTCCGGAAGGGGCGGCCAATAGCGACGGCGCCCCTCGGTCCCGTGACCGACGGCCAATAGGAACGCGCGCCACCGCCCGCGCCGCGCGCCATACTAGGTAGCGGACGCTCGAGGCTCGCCGCGCCGCAGCCCAATGAGATCAAAGCTGGGGGAGGGCGCGCGGCCGCCCCAGCATCCTCCGCGCGGCGTCGCCGAACAGCACGCCGGGAACGGGGCGGGCACGTGCCGCGCCGCAGCCCCGCTCCTCCCCAGGCCCCGCCCCTCCGCCCGCCCCGTCCCGCAGCAGGAGGCCGGAGGCGGGGCTGACCGCGGCCTTTATTCCTACAAACATAGAAACGCACGGCGCAGCGCCGCCCGGGCACGAAGCAGAGCGAAGGCACACGGCGGCGCCGCCCGGCCCCCGCGGCCGGGAAGGGACGGGATGGGGCGCGGCGCTCCCGGGAAACGCGCGGCGCCGTCCCGGCCGGGCGCGGGGCGTACATCGGCGGCGGCGTTCGTCCTCCCGCTCCGTCCGGCCCCTCACGGCCACCGGCGCGGCCCCGTCCCGGGGATCCCGCGGGCACGGCTCCGGGCGCGGGGCCGCTCACGAGAGGCGGTGCTCGTCCTCCAGGTGCAGGCGCGTCTGCTCGAACAGAAGGGGCTGCGTGGGGCTGGCGGAGCCGCGGCCGGGCAGCGTCTGCGTGAAGTCGGACGAACCTGCGGGAGGAGGAGGAAGAGCGCGGTCGGCCGTAGGGTCGCGCGGTCCCGCGGCTGCAGGGCAGGACGTGAGGGCGATGCGCCACCAGCCCTGCGGGAACCCGGCGTGCGTGCGGGGCCGGGGGAACGGCCGGGGGGGGAGGGGCAGCGCCGCAGCTGCAGCGTCGCCGGGCTCCGGGAGTACCGGGCCGTGGAGCTCCGGCGCCGAACAGATGGGCGTGGAGCCGTGGGGCGGGAAGGGGTGAAGGGCAGCGCCGGGCCGGCTGGCACGGATTGCTGGAAGGGGTGGTGGCCCTCAGGGCCGGGATCGGCCCCAGCAGCAAGCGGGGGCACGGCCGTTCTCGCCCACGGCGGTCCCAGGGCTGCTGCTGCCCAACCACGGCGATGAGTAAGAAGAACAGAAGACGTACCAGCTTACTCCTCTATACCAATAGAGCAGGAATCAGGACCCAGTGCTGCCCGAAACAGGAGGGAGGAAGGCAGACAGAGAGGGAAGGAGACATTAGAGAGGTGCTCAGCGCAGCCTGCGACTCTAGGGAAGAAAACAGGCTGCAACGAGAACAGTGGGGCCGAGGCCCCCCACTGCACCCCACAGCCGTACTGTCAGCAAGGCGTGTCCTGCTGGCCCTTCCCAGACCTGGGGTGGGCTAATTCCCCTCCTTAGGTCAAAGGGCAGTTTGAGGCTGTGTTTGGTGCTGGGAAACAGGAGCAGGGAGGTCAGGGCCCAGGCACTAAGCTCTCACCCCACCCCTTGCTCGTTCTGGCCCGTGTGGGCAGCTCCCTGCTGGCACCCTCCTGACAGGGGCAGGAGCCACATGCAAACAGTCCCAGGTGCTGTACCAGTGGCTTAGCCCAGAGAGGAGAAAGGGGGGAAGGACAGAAACAGAAGGGAGGGGGGAGGTGGAGAGAGAAAGGGGGAATGTTCCTGCTGTTAGCC